CCTGCCTGTGCCTGAAAAAAAGACAAGGGGGACAGACACCACTGAATAAGTTACATTTTCAGCATCTCAGTGACACAACTGAATTGCTCACTTATCCCAACCTTATCTTAGCTGGTGTGCAATCCTAATTAAAATGCTGACGTAAGGAATACACACAGAAAAGTCTGGCACGGATGTTATGGATGAGATGATAAACTTTATGAGCTACCTCCCATGTAGTTTTTGTAGTTAACTGCTGGAGCTAGAACAGTTGCTCCTAAGTGCACCATTTCTCATTTCACAGGGCTGAAAATGTTAAATAAAACAGAGTTGCCCTTTCCAATAGGTAGCAGCATCTTGCTGATCTAATTAATCTATGTAGCTCATTCTTTCACTGAGATAACTGGCAAATCAGGCTCCAATCCGCTTTTCCTGATGCTCATTTTCAGGGTGAAAAAGGATGTGGGTAGGATAAAACCCATGCCTCTACCTCATGAACAATGCTGTCGTGTAGCTAACACAGCAGAAGTATTTGTTTAATTAGTTACATTTTCAGCTTTTAAAGGACAAGAAAAAACAAGCCATGGGTGGTCTGTAACCTCAGAAGCGCAAATATCCTGGACTGTAAAATCATCCCAGCTCAGAATACTGGGTTGGACATAAAAAAAGCATTTATTGAATCCTGGTCTTGAGTCAGGAACAGAAGGTGCATTAAGAGCTTCCAAACTGCAGCCTACTGCCAATTCATTAAGTGTTCAGCATTATTTAATAAAAATGGCTTATGCATATACTTTAACTGAAACACTGTTTATTCATAAACATTTTTAACTACAGTATGTGTTGGGAGTTATTCACATACCAATTTAGAGACAGTTTCAAATTCTTCCTTCAAGTAACTGCATGCAATTCCCACTGCTGTCTGCCTCAACTAGGCTACAGGTCTGCAAGGAGAGCTTGTCCCGTATTTTGCAATCTAACCAAGGATCTCGGGTTTATAGAGACCAGAACACACTGCTGTTAATGTCTTGTTAGTGCATTAACATTATAAAACTGCTTTCATTGGTATAAAAGCATTAAAGTGATTCTAATGCCCTTAATGAACCCCAAATTTGAATAGATTTTTGAAAAAATTCCGCACTTTTTTTTGGATATTTTATCAGAGTATTCATTCTCCAGGTAGGCACAAAGTGAAACGCTCAGGCTTTCCATAAAACTTCAGGATTCTTGAAAAAACATAATGACACTGTCGAATGCTGAAACAATGGTTGAGCAGATTTAATGCTTCAGCCTACACTTCTTTGGGTTGCATTATCATGCCAGTAACTGCTTTTACACTCAGAGAGTGGTGAACAAGCAAGCTAATAATATTTGCTAGCAGTCTCAGGCAGCTGTTTGCTGTGGGATATTGCAATGGGACATTGCAGACAGGGAACATCATCATTTTTAGCCCCATCCTGTGCCACTACCCAAATGCTTTCTCAGGACCTCTCTTATTTTCAATGCTGTCTAGTTAAAAGCTGCTTAAAGAGCTTTTTCCCTCACAAGAGAGATTCCTAGAAGAGTGAAAGAAACTGCCTTTTCCACACTTTCCTGCTCATTCGTAAGGCACAGGTTCTTCCACCCTCCCAATTTCCACAGGATAACACCCATGTAGAAACAACAGTAACTTCTGACATGGGAAAAACATACCCAGAACAAGTTTTTTCTTTTCTGTGAGATTTCACAGCTGGAGATGGAGATAGCCAACACCCTTTGACCTGTTACTCCTCTAAGGGCCATATGTGTTCTGCATCTGGCAATTGGACAGCTGCTGCTTTAGAACTTTGCCCTTTCTGTCTCCCTTATCTTTCCTTCTGTCATCTGCTTATTTTCCATTTTATTATATTCTTTTTCGTTAGATAATAATGCCATTAGGATTAGTACTGGCAAGCGGCCAGGACAAAATGGCAGCACTAATGACTTTTGTTTGAGTTAGGGTCACTGTGAGATAATTTAGACCACAGACCTGGGGCCCCATTTTCCCATGACACTGAAAAAATGCACACAGAAAGGCAGAAACATTGAATGCTTCAAATCCAAACCTCCCTAAGTTCATCCTCTTGGGACAAAGCTCGCAGAAAAGAATGAGGACTATATTTCAACACCCGTGGATAGGACTTGAGATGGACTGTACTACTGACTATCTTTCCGCACAGTTTTTGTTTTCAGGAGCAGAATCCAGCAGAGAAAAATCCATCACTGTCACTTTACACCCACTCAACTCAAGGAGTTCTCCCTCCCAGTCTTCCCTTGGAGGGCACAGCCTTGCTTAGTGCACATCCAAGGCACTTTCTTACCACACTGCCAAATGAAGCACAGTTAATGGGTGCCCACTACCACAAATCTTTCAGAGAGGAAGGAACTGGCCTTCAGTGTGACTTTTCATTTTCCCCAATTAACTTTCAGAATGGATTTTTTTTTTTTTTTAATTCTGAAAGGTGCCCCAAAATTTTTCTGCTCTCAACTGGGCAGCAGGCAATTAGTTAAGGGAATATGAAGCATCTCTTTCCCACTGTCCAAAGTGGGGAAATGTATAATTCATCATAAATTATGAAAAGTAAATCAGAAAGTTAAAATTCACACACTTTTAATGGAGGAACATGGCTAATGTTCTTTTGCTATACTCAACCGAAGACTAACTCTCATAGGGACATTTTATTTTTTAGGAGGCTGTGGGAAGGCAGGTAGAGGAGGGTCTGCTAAAAGCTATGTAAGGTAGGCATGCAGGACACTCTGCATTTCAAATCAAACCTCCTTCTCCCACAGCCATGACCTGTAGCTCCTCCACTGAGTCCAGTTCCCTACAGCCTCCACCAAGAGGCTTCCTGTGAATCAAGGACTGATGTTTCACATGGCAGGAAGCTGTGGTATGTGTACAGAGATCACAGCTCCTCCCTCTGTCCCAGCAAGAACAGACTGGGAAGAGTGTAGAAAGCCAGGTGCAAAAGGAAGAACAGGAGGAGGAGCAGGAGAGGCAGCAGCAGCAGCAGGAGGGGGCCCATGCCACTGCCCAACCTAGCAAAAGCTGATGTTTTTGTGTGAAGGAGTGCTTGGAACAGGATGAAAAACTCTGGATCACAGGTGGAAATGGGACAAAGGGAAAGGAAGCCCTCAGAGGCAGGCAGGAGGTGCTCAAGGATGAGATGGTAGGGAGACAGTCCACATAGCTGCCCTGGGACAGCCAGGAGCACTTCCAGTACAGCCCACCGAGTGAGGAATCAGAAAAGAGGACTTCTGGCAGTGGGTGGGCAGTTGCATCTCCCCAACAAGCACATCAGCCTGCAGAATCTCCCCCCTGCTGGCACAGGGGAATTCCCTCTCCCATAGATTCACTTCTGCGTGACCATAACAGAGTATCTTGTATCTATCCAGCACAAATCAACACTGCACAAGGTTTGCAGGAGGTCCCTATCCTAAAGAACAGCGAAGCATCACCATGCATGCCACCAAAACACCCACAGGCAGTATCCTGAGCTCTCAGCAGCATAATGCTTTTCTCATCTGGGGAGATGTCACACTGCCCAGACTAAAAAAGCCACAAAACTGCAGCTGAATGGATCTTTAATATTCACTATTTAATATTCACGTTTCTCACCAATCATAACCAAGGGCACATAGCAGACATTCAAGGTACATAGCTTACTAAGCGACACCTGCAAAAGGACACATAGAGAGAAAAGGGAGGAACAGCACAAATTACAGTTCCTTGACTTCTTCAGAACTCATATAGCAGGTTCTTCAGAGAGCAGCACCTTGAAATTGCTAGTTGGGGTTTCCCACTAACCCAAGACAAAAAAATGCCTTCAAAAGAATATGACTATACTTTGAAAGTATCACAGGAAAAATACAAACTACTGATGTAATTAAAATTTAGCATTTTAATATTTAAATAAAATAGATTCTATTTCTAAGAAGCACAAGTTTTCTAAAGGTAAACTGAGTTATACAATAAAGTGCAGGAAAGGATCTTTAACACAACATTCAAGTTCATCAGCTTCTGCTGATGAACTGAAGATGATGCCTCCACCTCTGAGGACACAATGTTTGAAGCAAAGATGTGAGGTAGATGCCTAAGTGGGAGCTGGAAAATGAAGGGTTTGGGTTGACTTGATTTATGAGTTTCAGGCATTACTTCCTTGCTCTCATTTCCTACAGCTAAAGACTGACCAAACTTTCTTCAAGCCTCTTTTCTTTACATTTGGAAAGTTTACTCTGCACCATGGAAAAGGCTGACTGTCTGGAAAGCACTTGTATCAGCATGTAGGAATCCCTATAGGTATGTGCTATACATTCTTGCCTTCACAGATGACTTTTCTAAGAAAATGCCTAATGAACCAGCTTAGCAGTACCTCAAAAGCAATTTTCAAAGACGTTTCTCTCCTACATTTTGAGAGATTAAAAAAAGACTTTCCCACATCCACCTCTGGACAACAGTGACACACTCCAAGGCTTAAAACAACTTGGAAGGACTATATTTATACTTTAGACAGTTCAAAATGAAAAACAGCAACTATCTAAATATGCTTTTTTGGAAAATAAGACCCCTGTTCTCATTCACATTAAGAATAACTTCATTAGACACAATACTGAGAGTGTACCTTTCTGAGATTTGAGTCTTAAAAAAAATAATTACTCCGAGAAAACAAAAAAGAAGACTATAGTTCTTTGCCTATTAAAAGACAACAAGTAATTGGTGGTAAAGTGAGAGACCTGGCAACCTGCCTTTCCCCACCCTTCCTGCTAATGAACTAAGGAATGAGCACAGGCCAACTAGTCAAGGATAGTGGTGTTCAGATCTAGTGCATCTAGACCAAGTCTGTTCTTGCTATTTATGTTAACCACAAAAAAAAAATATATATATATGCAACAGGAGGATTTTGCAACTGAACCCAGGTGATTCTGTCTTGGTAAGATCTCACTGGTATTTTTGCTATAATTAGGAGTGAGCTTTCGAAGATGCTGTGATCTCTTCAAGTACTTACATAGTCATCCTCATGAAGACCTTGCTTCTGAACAGAACTTTTCACCTCCAGGGAAAACTTCTCAAACTCAGGCTTCACAGTCCTCAGCAGAGTGACGGTCTGGAGGTACGAGTATGCTTTCTTGGCTTCAAGGTCATGTTTGTCTCCTCTTCTCCAAGAGCCGTTTCCTAAAGGGGAAAACAGGTATACTTCCAGCTCCACACTAGGCACCATTATAGGATTGCTTTCCTTTTTCCACCCCGAAGTCCCCCTTCATGCACCTTGGGGATATACCAGAATATGAGGGAAAACTGAACCTTCTCCAAGTGCAAAGAAAACCAGGTAGTGTGGAATAGCTGGTGGAAGTAAGCATGCAAACTGAAAGTCAACTATTCCCTTGCAGTTGATTATTTTCAAAGGGAGGGGTAAAGTCTGAATGTGAGAAGACATCTTGGAATAAAACACACAAGCTGGACCTCAAACGCAAAGATATTTAAGTTAGAAGTAGTGGGAGAGGATTCAAGCACAAAGATTTTGTTACACATCACTCCACCAGTGACATTACTGGACAGCCAGAAAGGCATCAGTAAAGTCAGGATGATGAGCATCACCCTGAATGGGAGGCACATCTCTCACCGCAGGAAAGCAGAAAACCATGTGTGTCGTGGCTGCCATACCGGCCCGGCTCTTAGCGGAAAAGGAACACTTAGAATCAAAATGGAATCCTGTGCCTGCACTACTTTTTTAACACGTGTTTTGTGTCACAGCAAGGGAACAATTTAACTCAGACCACCAGTAAAGAAACCGCATTTTTAAAACGCAGGATAGCTGACTAGTTGCTCACTAGCAGAGGAGTCCTTCTGCAGAACAGAGACTGGCCACAGCAGGCCCTGAGACCCTGATCCAAAGCTTCAGGATATCAGTGAAAAGGTTCACATTGCCCTGGAGCAGGTGAATAATAATGATAGCTAAACTATAAATGATAACTAAAACATAAATGATAGCTAAAAAAGGCTAGAGGGAACAGTGTTAGCCCTAAGCAGTGTGCCTTTAAATGTTTACAAATAATTAAAAGCTAGACATTTTAATTTTTCGAACAGCAGCAACAAACTCCTTTATGACTAAATGAGCCAAGGCAAAGACTAATGCTTGAACTCCCAAGGATGACCTGGAATCACACAGGAACCTGAAATGAAAGAGGTTTTGCTTAGGTTGGGGACCAAGATGTCACTGGACAGAGAGAAGCAAGTGATTCGGGAGTGGAGATGTTAAGGAAGATGGAGTCCAGGCATCAAACCCATGGTGCTCCTTGCACAGTGTTACCATCTGCATCACATGGCTGCAAGAGCAAAGTCATGGACATACCACCTCTGTCCCCTGAAGCAGGCAAACAGAACTTGCATTTTTTCCTCCCAGCACCCTGACACTGCTGCTGGGAATTAACTGGAGAATTGCTCTGCCTCCTCAGAGAGCGCACGGGAATGAGCAAAGGACCTGCACTTTTCTGGAAGTTAAGCCTTTTCTCCTGCAGCTCTTGGTTCCAGGGCAGCTCCTGTAATTCCCAGTACAAGTCAGGAAACACAGGTGCACCTAAGCCCTTTCCTTCTCTTTTCCACCCCAAGCAAAGCACTATTTATCACAGCCCAGTACTACTCAGGACTATAATCATTAGACATATCATGAACTTTGCTATTTCTTTCCTTTTCTTTTTTTTTTTTTAAAGTGATTTCCCTTTTTTAGGAAGAAGCTCTAGATACATATGCCTCAGTTTAGGGACTTCTTCCCTAATAAAAAACTTAACATGTCAAAATAACTTACACCAACACTCTATTCATCAGACCAAATGGAAATACTGGAGAGCAACTAACATTCCACTGTCTGGTTTTGTCACTCTTCCCTTCAGTGCCTGCACCTGTCCTCGTTACTCCTTTCCAAGAGAAAGAAATGCACATCCAGCAACTGAAAGCTAGCACATCTTGCTGCTTTCCCCAAAAGAGAGTACAAGCCCTGCAGGAGTCTAGAAGCTGAAAAGCTTCTGCCCCAGCTGGGTATCTGCATTTTAGAGGTGCAGCATTCAAGTACAGAAGAGACTACAGAAAGGAGGGCTTTGCATTTACAAATGGAGATGGGATAGCTAAAAAGCGTAAGATTATAGATGCAAAAATACAAGGTAGTGTAAGTTTCTATCCTGGACACTATACGTGTTTCTTTTTAAAAATCCTGACACAGAGTGGGGACAGTACACTTGCACAACAGCGTTCCTAGAATAATTTACATATTTAAATTCCTTCATGAATTACTTTGTGGGAGGTCATCTCGTTACAGTACAATTGCAAACAATTACTGCAGCCTTGACATTTAATATGCTTGTTCTTCTGAAAAATTAAAAATATTCAGAACAGAGGGCAACAACAAACTGCAATAAAGTCATCTGAACATAAAGGCAGTGCCAATTGCCCAATCACTCCCACTCTTTGATTTTATACGGTACCAAATCTAGTATCTCCAGGCACTGGGAACAATGAGTTTTGGGAGAATTTCTCTAGACTTCTCTTACGCTTTCTTTTCATATGCAGTGACTGTCTGCATAGAAGTCAACTTCTGATGCACAAGTCATCTCATGGAAACACATCCACAAACAGAAAAACTGGTTTAAAAGAAATGTCAGGAAATGCCACATTCCAACTACACTACATCAGAAGACAGACAGTTCTCATTAATCCCTTAGAAAAGCTACAAGAAAATAGGAGTACCTGTGATGCAAAGGAGATGGTGCTGATGCTCCAACAAACCGTGGGGCAAACGGGAATTGCTCCCACCACTGTCCCCCACAGAGGCTGCATGTCAGAATTCCAGCATTGCTCTGTACATGGCTGGACAAAGTGCTATCTACCTGGTGCTGCGTCACTGGGGACACCCATCCCACATCATCTGTGATCTCTACATTACTACACCCTGCGCCCATTTCAGCCAAGGTAAGGAAACCATCAGTTGTAAGGGATGCATCTGAGCCACAATGGATACCTCAGGATGAGGTGAACTGCTGTTCAGGAGCGCCAACTTCTCTCCAAAGACAGCCCAGCTCACAAACAGACTTGTGCCCATGGCCAGATAAATCACTTCTGATGCATTTCTACTGTGAATCAATGCTGGCAGCCAGAAAAGTTATTTGATCAGTGGTTTCTAGTAAAGTCAAGTCCACAAAACTCCCACGGCCTAACACAAGGGCCAAAACCTCCAGAATTTTGTGACTGCTGATATGGGTAGAATTTCAGCTCTTTGCTCTGATCCTGAATAAAGCTGCAATGCCAAATAGTTTTGTTTATGCCACCAGGGATAAAGTCACTCTAAAGTCACTCAACTGAACAAGCAAACCTTGATTCAAACCACTGGTTATGATCTTGTTCTACACTTTTATCTTTTAGTTATTTGAGCAATTTCCTTATTACCTGGCAAAACTTGGCACTCTTTAGCTAACCTAGACATGTAGCAGTATCTGTACTTTTGTATATACCTAGATCTCTGATTTCAAAGAGTTACATATCTTCATTATACAGCATGTCAAACAGCATTGTTTACTGTGAAATAATCTCAGAGGTGGTAGATGGGTAACAAAAAATTTATGCAAAAGAACATAATTTGTAATTAATTGATTAATTAAAAAAAATACATTAACCTCCTTTGAATTTGTTTGTTCCTGTTGGTCAGCCTTTGAGGCTTAAAGAAACAAAAACCAAAAATTTTCACTTCTTCTCAACTTCCACTTGGTTTTTAATTTGAAATAATTTGTTATTGTAGTGGATTAGTTAAAGCAATCCGCAGGGGGGAAATTATTTTCTCTGTGCCTGCAAAAGAAGCTTCTCCCTTCAAAAGCCATGTTGGTACTTCACTAAGACCTAGTTCCAGGAAATTAACTTACCCCAGCTTCAGCCATCTAACATTTGAACTCAGCAAACACGTTGCTCCAACATTACAATTTAAGAGAGACAGCTGCAGCAGCTAAGAGCAGGTTACATGCAGTTACATTTGATACTATGGCATATAGATAAATTAGGTATATTTTAAAAAGAAAATGCACCTAATTTACATTTTGAAATCATGGTTTAGTTTGACAAATACGATCCTTTTCACTTAGTTGTGGAGTCAGTAACTTTTATCCACTTGAATAAATCTGGACTGCCTGTGTCCCATCCAGTGCTTTCCCTTCAGCACAGCATGGCTGAATATTTTTGCAGACACTGTTTCTGAAAAAATCTGAAGCCACCTAGACCTGAGCACACACACTGCACAGTGGGGTACCCACACCATAACCAATGTCTGTGCCTGGTGCTGATTCCCTGAAAAGTAATAAAATAAGTAACCCCTGTGGTATGTTGTGACCCACCCAATATCAACTACAGCCACAAGGTTTGTTTTATTTTCTGCAATGCCACAGCCCAAGCGGCAGATAACTGCAACAACAGAGAGAGACAGTGGTGTTTCCTGGGACTCAGTGCTGCGTATTTTGAGGCTAATGAATCCAGAAATACTATCAAGCTTCCAAAGACTTTGCAATACACCTGGGCAAGAAAAACACTACCGTATGATGAGCTGTTGAAGAGTTCAATGTTGAAGAAAGCGTAGTCCCCATTGGTCATTCCTTGCCGATGAGCAGCCAACATGATGTTCCTGATGGTGTCACCGCTGGCACACATGATTACAACTGGTGGAAGAAAACGAGAAACACAGATAAGAAGCAGTTCAAGAACTTTAGGGAACAGCCTGTTAAGCATGAATACTGCCAGAAGCAGTGACCTCAGCTGTCCTCCCAGTGTTGCAACAAACATGACAACACAGATCACAAACAAAGTTGATTTCCCAAACAGCTGAAAAGACAGGCAGCAAACACAGGAAGGCTTCCTCCTCCCTTGTCTCCTCTGAAGAAGATAAGGAAATAGAGCCTATGTGTTACCTGGTTTTGTACCACCCCTGCAAGATGTGATAAGTTCTGGCTCCAGGTTTTTTTAGCTCCGCGTTTTTGTAGAGTAGACTGCAACTAGAAGCCTCTGCTGTTACTTCTTCATGCATGTAAGACAATCTGAAGATGGAGAATTAAGGTGATACCATGGCATTACCATTTCAATTTCCATTCCATTCAACAGTCTGGCATTGATTCAATCACCTACACCTCAGCTATCTGATATTTAGATATAGAATTTATTGCTTCTCTGCACTTAAGGAAGAGCAGCATCTGTGCACCTGTGCAGCAGGGGCCGTGGTATGAACCTCTCCAGAATATGACTTTCTCTCCAGAGACCATATAATAAGTCTAGGCAACACTCTTTGATGGGATGCCTAATATTAAGAAATGGGAAAACTAAGTGCCACTTTCTGAGCATGAAGATTAAAGATGGGTACAAGATTAAACACCACAGAGCTTCATTTATCATTCACTAAGAGCTAAGCAGAGGCCCTGCTGCTGCAGTGGGACCTACAAGCCCACAGGTGTACTCTGTGTGGGCACCCTGATTCACACTGTGACGACTGTGGTTTACTGGTCTCTCCCTGTATCTGTTGGGCAGGGGGACTACTCCCCTTGCTATCCCTTCCTTCTGCAAAGGGAAAGCAGAAACTCAGGTGAGGTCTTCAGCAATAGGGAGACAACTCCCAGACAGAGCATGTTATACTATAAACTTCTATGCAGGTTCACAAGACTACAGGTATGAAGCTAACTGACATCACAGGGAGCAGCAAAGTGTTTTATCAGTGCATGCTTCGGGGCCATATCCTACAACAGAGCCGTAAGAGATCCTGTCAGGACGATGATTCGAAACCAACTGCGCGCACGTTTCCAAGAACGCCGTCACGCATGGCAGGACTCAAAAGCTACAATAATGTACGCAAATATTTTCAACCCAACAATAAAAATGAATCAAAACCACATTCAGCTCTTCTGGGTAGAAGTGTTTTCTATTATAAGAAATGAAAAGGCCAAACAGGCCAAATCTTTTCGCACACAATGAATCTTCCCCCATTGCTTTTCTGGTTGGATGCCATCACAGGCATAACCTCCAGATGTGCCGCCAGGGTGAGTCACGTTCAGTACATCCCCATGCTTCAGTAGAGTTATACCATGCATAGCTCTGTTCTACTGATTATAGTAGAGTAATATAATAATTTCCAGAGCAACAGAGCAAGACATATTTCATGACCATTGTGAAGTACATTAACATGAAGGAAAAGAGGAAGAAAAAAATTTTCTTACAATAAAATTTGGACCAAATCTTTTCCAGATGCACATCAGGAATGAATTTGTCTCACTGTTCCTAATTTCAGTATAGGTGAGAGATTTCCTTTTGAAACGTTTCCTTGCTGCCCTCTCAACTCTCCCTTGACTTTGCCTTTGCAATTCACATCTATCATGAAACTGTAATCTGTAGATGGAATCAAAGAGATTCCCACAACACCAGTAAAAGACTTTGAGCAAAAGGAATAAAAGAAAGAGTGTGTGTGGGGAACTACTTTAAAATACATTAAATCATATTTTGTAACCCTCTAAAGGAATGTAAGGGAAGTAATATTAACTATTTGGATGGGGTTTTTAACCCAGCAGGAGAGCAAAGATTACATATTTCAAGATTTTGAAGCAAATAACTATGGACATGCCTTTCTCTTCAAAAAACGTAAGTCATGTATTTAATCTGCATCTATACCATACTGTTGTGTACATACAAACACGTAAGAGCAAACATACACAAAATGTTCTCCCTCCAGCATAATACACACAGACCACAGTAATTCTATCACTAACATGCTGAATTTATTGACTAGGATTATTGACTCATCCTGCAAATACTTTAGAGTTTAGTTCCAGCTAAAGGAGTAAGTGTTCCCTTTGCTACACACATCCCTTGAACTATATGCTTTTGCATTTAAGCACAGTCCTGCATTTGTGACCTCAGCCTACAGCATCAAGTCTGCAGTGCAGTCAACTGAGCCTATAAGGGAATATGAACTACTAATGAAATTAATTGAAGACAAGTGCCTAACTTTTATTATCATATTTTTCATGATTTTGTTGTGGCTCCGAGACTTTAGTTTTTTTCAAGTGGCTCCAGGGATTGAACAGGTAGTCCCTGGTAAACATGGGTGTATGGTTGAGTGTGCCTCTTCCTCCCAGACTGCTGAGAGCTCAGTGCCAACCCCCAGCCAGCAGCAGCCTAATCCATGGGGTCTGCCCTGTCTCGGGCCCCAGAGGACAGCTAGTGGGGCAGTTTCTTTCTCAGTTCTGGGAGAGTTTCAAGCAGATATTCTGTATCTGCTTGAAAGCCCACTCCCACCCAGGCAGCTCAAGGAAGCCTGACCACTCGGGTGGGACCCCAGCCAGCAGCAGAAACATGAGATGGTACAGGGGCAGAGCCCAGCAGAGTGTCACAGTAGCTGTGACACAGGAGCCAACCAAACAAAAACATTTCTATAAAGCGCCTTGGACAGTGCCCTGTTGGCCCCAATAGGGAATTCCAAGGAGTTCCCCCAAAACACGAAGACCACATCTGGTCAGCTAAAGCACACAGTTGCACCCACATGATGTATAACTTAAAATATTGTGGTAACCTGAAGGATTACAAAGGAATGCACCAGGAGAGTCCTGCAGTCAGTCTTTAAAGTCAGAAAGGCACAAGTGGAGGCTGGGGGCCCCGTTTGCTGAATTTTGCAGTAGCGGCATGAGCCAGATGACAAATGAAGAGGTGAGATGAAGGGAGGGACCCCACAGGGCACAAGGGGGGCAAATTACTGCTTCTGCTCAGTCATTTGCAACTTACAGAATAGTGAAAGACCAAAGGTCTCACCTCAGCAAAGCATTTAGGATCAGATTGAAATCAAGCCTCTCTTCCCTGACTGTCAGCATAGTCTGAAGAGTAGGGCTGGAGTAAGCACTTGTCTTTTCCTGTTCTAAGAATGCTGCTACGCTCTCAGCATTAGGAAAGCTGCACACACAGACACATGACAAGCATCTTTCCCCACACAGGGCTTTCTTCCAGCACTGACACATTTCTTTCTCCCCCGTTCATTGCATTTCTCTGAATCATACTTACAAGGAAAGCTCTACTTTAAGCACCTACTGAGCAAAACAGTGAATAGAGAATTAAATAGCCATATGCTGTTACACCTCAGTTATCTCACACACACTCTTGCACATGTTAAGGATTTCACAGTAGCGCAACGGCAATAATGATTTCACTTGCAGCGCAAGTGCAATGCTGCTCCATCCACAGCCTACAGCACCAAAACACCACTTCTGCCAACCCCACATAGCACTCTCTGTCCAATTCTGATGCTATTTGAAAACTCTAAAACAAAGATATGTAACAATTGTACAAAGAGTTTCACTTATCTATGGTTCTTTTAGAAGATTTCGAAGTACTTTTACTTTATCATGTGGTCTACTCCTGGAATACATCTTTTCTTTCACAATAACTTACCGGGAAAGCCTGTGCCTGGTAAAATCCTCTAACAGAAAACATCTTTCTGATAAGTCCATATACCCACACGTTGCTTGGCAAGATCTCACTTTAAAACGCATCTAAACTACTAAACTGCACGTTTCAAAGCACTTTGTTTTACTGCTTCACGATGCAGAGCCCGGGGTAGCTGTCCAAGACATTTTACAAGTCACTTATCTCCACACTGATTCACTAACAATTGGCAATATCACAGCACGAACTCAGGTGTTTCTCATGCACTCAACTCCTGAAATGACCGCCTCCCTAAACGCATTTGTTATAATTTATGAGGTACTCGAAAGGGCTCCCAACGGCAGGAGTGTGAAAAGAGCTCCCGCTACAAGACACAGTAGAGTGAGAAGAAAACATCTTTGCTTAGTCTTTGAATTTACAGAGTCACTTACAGAGTCAGAGAATAAGCAACAGATTTGCTGCCCTGTAGATATGGGCAATTTTGAGTAAACCAGACTGTCAGCAGAAAGCAGATTTCTTACTATGCCACAAAACCCTCCTATCGTGGTCCCTAAGAGAGCCGCCCTCTCCGTCTTGGGAGGCAAAGCTGTAGTGAACCTTTGCGGGCAGTGCTTTCACTCCGGGCTGTTAGTTCTCATCTGCCGGGGGATGCCCGGACCGGGGATGCCGCCACAGCACCGCAGCGAGTTTCCCCAAGGGCGCGGACGGACCATGATTCCCCCACATCCCGCAGGTCCTTCGCTCCCCGTGGGCTCCCACTGCCCCAGCCTTAAACCGAGGAGCCAAGCCGGGCGCTTCGCCGACACTCACTCACCCCTCTCGCCGGTCTGGAGAGCGCGGACGACGTCGTCGAGGTCGAGGTGGCGGCTGGTCTCGTCGAAGCTGTGCACGGCCATGTGGAAGGCTTCCTCCTGGAAGACCACATGGACGCCCTCCATGGCGAAGTAGCAGTTGCGCTCGGGGTTGCTGTCGCTGTAGAGCAGCGTGGCCCGGTTCCACTGGTGGTGGCGGAATAGGGCCAGCAGCATCTCGCCCATCTTGGCGTAGGCGGGGGCCACGCGGGTGAGGTGCGAGTACTCGCCGCCCTTGGCGCCGAATCCCGCGGCCAGCGCGCCCGCCGACAGCATCGGCACGTCCCAGTGCGCCGCCAGCCGCGCCACCGGCGCCGCCGCGTACTCGCACACCGGCCCCAGCAGCAGGTCGGGCCGGCGGCGCTGCAGGGCCACCATGTCCACCAGGCTGAACAGGGCGCGGTTGCCGCACGCCGAGTCCTCGTAGGTGAGCTGGAAGGTGTAGCCGGGCGGCAGACCCGCGCCGCTCTCCCGCAGGCTCCGCACCGCGTACTCGATGGCCGGGCGCACCCGCCCCAGCGAGAAGAGGTAGGCGTCGTCCTGCGGCAGCAGCACCAGCACCCGGATCAGCTTCTCCTCCTCCTCCTCCTCCGCGCCCGCGGAGCCGCCGCCCAGCGCCGCCCGCGCCGCCAGCACGCAGCAGAGGCTGCCGAGCAGCCAAGGCGGCATCGCGCCCGCCCCCCCCAAGAAGCCCGAGCTCCGGCAAACTTTTCGTCCCCCACTTCCCCCGCCCGCCTCGAAAATTGTTCGGTCGTGCTTTATTTCTCAGGTGTTTGGCAGACTCACAACCTGTCCCCCCCACCCCTCTCCCCGCCTGCGGGTCACGGACGGAGCATCTCGGCTGTGCTTTTCTCGTTCTCTTAGAGATAGACGATTATTACTATGATTGCTCGCCCCCCCCCGCCGGATCTCCCCGCGGGGCTGCCGGGCTGCGCCCTCCCCGCTTAAATAGCGCGGGAGCAGCGGCGGCGTCTCCGCACACCCAGCGCGGTGCGGCCGGGTTTGTGCGCAGGAGGAGCCGGACCGGGCGCTCCCTCCCGCCCGCCCCCTCCCTCCGGCGGTCCCCCGCCCCGCACACCTCCGCGGGCGGGCGGGGGGTGTCCTTATCGCACGCATCTGACACTGATGTGTGTGTAATTCGTGTACCTTCCTGCTCGGCTCGCTGCCCTCCCCCACGCCCCAGCCACGCGAGTCCCCTTCAATTGGGGCCGGGGAGTAAAAGGATCCCGTTGGACTTGCGTAGTTTTTGGGGTTGCTCCAGTCTGCTTAAGCTGCATAAGAAAAGCACTTGAGCCACGCCAAGGGCTCAGTGGTCGGTGCGCCGCAGGGCTGGGGCATTTGGGAAGGAGAGGTTGCAGCATCAGCACCAGGGGATGCAGGTAGCAGCCTGAAGGGCTCTGCAGCAAGACACAGGCTTCCATCTCCTCGCAAGGTGCCCGTGCACGGCATAACCCTATAAGGAAGTTGGCACTGGATAGGTGACCCCTGCCTGTGTCCCTCTGGGGTCTTTCAGAGACCCCCGTGCCAAGAAGGTTCAGTCACTTTTCTGTCACTTCCCGCTGTGTCTGAGACACAATTTCATGCCCCAAGCAGCAGAGGTCACCCCCAGTGAAGGAGACAAGTCCTTTTCTGAGATTATTTTCTTGTGAAAAAAGAACTTTTTGAATTCTTGTGACAACACTGCCCAGTCAGAAAGGCATCCCTGTTCAGCTCTACTCACTGGCCATAAAGCTGCTATGCTTAAGATTTTGTTAGCGTCCATTTAAAATGGGCACACCTTTTCTGGAATAAAGTAATATGAAATGTGCAGAATGCTTTGTGAAAGAGGCTTTGGAATACCTGATGCTTTTTGACAGCAAAATCCTAAAGGATGGCTCTCTCTGGAGTTTTCTGTGCCCTGTAACAGCACATATCCTCAAAACCAGAGCAGGGCTGCACGGTTTGATGTTTTATGGTTATTCAGACAGTGCCAGGTTCGCGTTCGAAAGGTGAGTGAACTGCTTCTGGCTTTACAGAAGGGGTTTGTTTAGTTCAGCATAGAGGTCGTTGTCAGGGCAGCATGTGTAAACTTTACTTTTGTTGCTGCCTTCGCTCTGCAAGCTATGAATGGGAAACCTGCACGCCTGGGGTGACCATCTGCTCACCTTTAAGATGCCTCAATTAAATAAAGAAAAGCTGAAAGTGCTTGTGCAATTGCAACTGAGAAGTGAAGTGAAAACTGGATAACACGAAGTACAGAAATAATCACTGGCATTTATCTAACAAGGCTCGGTAAAATAAAGAAGCTCAGAAATTCAAAGATGGGTAGTGTCTCTGAAAAATGTGCCTCTCGTAGTTTTATTTGATTACTGAATCAAACTTCAGAGTGTTCTTGAAGATTACATAAACATCCACCCTGGTGAAGCTGGTTTTGTGTGTTCCTGTGCTGTAAGTTATGTCAGGCATTTTTTGTTGTAAATGACTCCGTATAACATAGCAGAGATTAAGCAGAATGTTACAATATACAACACGCCAGCCATCTTCACCACAAAGCTTGCAAAAACATTTTCTTAAGACACATTTTGAAATGCTGACCTTTGTAGTCATTGCTTTATGGTGACCCTACAGATGTGTTTACAACACTGAAATCTGGTCAGATCTCTCTTGATTTCCTCCTACCCCCACCAGAACAACTTTTTCATTTTACATGTGAGCTCCATACTATCCTAGCTGTCTTATTTAAGCATAAGCTGTGTAAACACAACGGAAGAGATAGTAAGCCCATAAATCACAGGGCTGCTATCCCTTCACACGAGCTGCTCCTTGTGAGGTAAAGTACTGCTGGGAATGAATAAGAGTGGGAGAAGCAGGGCCAGCATGAGGCAAAAAAAGAAACGAAAGGCATCTAGGCAGTCCTGTGTAGCAGCAGTAGCATCAAAGTCCAATTTCAATACTTTCACAAAAACATTTGGCCCACAGTATGTGGTCCTTACCTGAGAAATTGTACTCAGTATTAGGGGAGTCACAGTGTCTCTGTGGGTCCAAAGTGCCGTGAGCATTTCAGTTGTTCCTCTTTACCCTGAGAGGTTTTATGAGGAAGAATCCCAGCCTGTGATTGATTTATTTTTCTGAGCCAGGAATTTTTTTCTGAGCATGAGAATTTACTTGTTAATCCCAAATCAAAATGTCACTTAATCTGCCTCATCATTAGTTCACTTACAGCTATAAATTCAACATTTCTCCACAGACATTATTTTTTTCAGCTATATAAATGCTTTTTAATAGGAACAAATCCTGCAGTTGTGGATTTGCAGCAGGCAGAATGCCCACAGATTTCAGTGAGAACAGAGATTTCAGGCTGGTCCTTTAGGACTAAAGTAATTTCGGACACAGGCTATTTTCTCCCCAGAAATAATGCAAGCACAAGTCAAGAATCACTTGACTCACTCCAGCTAGCGTTAGCAGCAGCCTGAGCTGCCGATGCAGATTCAGAATTTTTTTCACAGATGGGTTCGCTGAAAACACAGTCCCACCTACAGGCTGAAAAGATGAAATACTTTAATATCATCTGTACTGCAAACACATCCTGCCACTCAGACTTGCAAATTCTTCCCCTGTTTTTCAAGAAAGTTATTATCTTTTTATTTTAAGGAATCTGTACTCTTCTGGAACATACCTACAGGATTTCAAAATACAACATGATGTATCTTGTGTCTCTTTTTGTGTTTTGTGACCTTGCCTTCATATACTTAGGTTATGTAAAGGCCAACACTGTTTTCAGGTGAAAATACTGCAGGATGAAAACTCAAGATGAGCCAATCTGACACCAAAAAAAATAAATTGAAAGGGGACATATTTCCCCATTTTCCTTTAAGTGACACAAACTTCTGTGGAGATACGTACATGAGAACTACAAGATCACAAAACTACACACAAAACTTGGGCATGCATATGTATACAGCTTCCACTTCACAGCACCAAGTATGGTAAAGACAGGCAGGTGGATGTAATTTTTATTTTACAAATGGGAAAACCAGGAGAAGATAGGATGAAAAAGATTGCCCCACACTCCTTTCTTTTCCCTAAATAATAAAAATTAAAGTTCTTGTCATGAAATTTTAAGGAGGAATAACACTTCCTGTCTGCTGCCTGCCACCCCAGACAACATGCAATATGGGCAAAAGACAGCTTTATGCACAGCAAATGTTATTTTCATTAGTCATTTGCATTTTACACCACATGCATGGCTCCACTGAAGCCTATAGAAGAACATACCGATCATAAGTTGACATCAAAACCTTCAAGATTTTATTTCTAAGGTTCTATTTTTATTTCTAAGAAAGATGTTCTTGCAATTATTTTCACTTTAAACAAAGTATCACCACATTTCCTCTTGTTTTGCAAGTACTTTCAGTCATCAGAGCAATATTGAGAATGCAACTCTTGCATCCTTTTTAACAGTGTAACTTTATAAATAACCCTTGGCTCATACTGCCTGTCTGCAACTTTCCTCTTCTGCCTAGACTACATTACAAAATATTCACTTTGTTTAGGCAGCCAATTTCTGTAATTCTGGATAATATCTGGGAATAGAACAGACTGTTATGCTAACTAAATTAAATTAGGAGGATAAATTGTCTTGGTTTGGATCCACCTATCACTGTGATTTTCACTTGTTTTTCATTTCCATTTCTTAGATAGTTCAGCCTTGGATAGTTACTGGAGTGCATGGGACAATGGCCACCTTGTTCCTCATGTACATCTGTCTCCATCAAACAACCATAGTTTGAGATAAATAGCAAGTGGTGAAATACAAATATCTTGTGTGCCTTACGAACATTATGGCAATTCTGTCCAGAGAACCCAAAAGGCTTTAGAGATCAAGGAATATTTCTGCTTGAGATGAAGTAACTCTACAGTAGGTACTCCTATTGCTTGTAAGAGAAATATTAGAAATTGGTGTTCCTCAGAACAGTTGGGATCTGACATCCCAGATCCACTGACAACCAAGGAACTGGATTGCTGTTATGTTATGTGTAAACTCAAAACAGGAACTGTTCCAAAGTGCTACTTTCATATGTATTCCCATATAAATGGAACAGTATTTTTACAATATAAAGAAACCACACATCTATGCTTTGCCTGGATATTCAGCTCTATGGGCAGTGTCAGTTTATATACTAGTATCATCCCAGGAACTGATTGACCTCTAAGAATATTCTGAGGGGAAACTTGGGTTATTTTTTAAGCCAAATCAGTTCTTTGATAAGGTTTGTGGTTGTGTTGGTACAGCAAAGGAAGAGATCTGAAAGGACAGCAGAAAGATGCCAGAAACAAGAGGTAGAAACTCCTTAGAGTAGAAATTAGTGCTGAAATCTCTGGCTGTCTTTTCTCTTGCATGTTAGTTGATGATTAAAGTATGGGGAATGCGTGGAAAAAACATTTTTAATAGTATTGACAGATCTTGTTCCAATGAGCTGATTTGAAAAATATTTTAAATATTTAATTCAATAAAAATATGTGCTTCAGGAGTTGTGTCATTTCCAGTTTATTAAAGCACTAATGCGATTAAAAAAGTGAATGTATGGACTTGGTGGAATACACATTTGTCATTTGTCATCACATCACTGGAATGGGAGCAAATGAGATTGCTGAGTGAGAAGGACAAAAGCTCCAGGAACAGATGGGTG